GACATGGACATGGACATGGACATGGACATGGACATGAACATGAACATGAACATGAACATGAACATGAACATGAACATGAAACGTAGTTACCAACAGGATAACACATAATAATCTGGCAACGAGAACGCACCAACGCTGACCCTATATACTGCTCCGATAATGGAGAGCAGGTGTGCCTCGTCGCCTGGAATGCACCCTCACCTGTGCGGGGGCGGAGCTGCTGGAACTACCTGTGCCTGCTACCGAGGTACATGGGGCGGCCCGGGTCACGGACGTAACACTACTTGACATTCTGCAGAGTGAGGACTCTTTGTTTTGGATAACCCTAATGGAACAGCTTCACTTTATCTATTGGGCCTAAGCAGCAGCACTTCAGTTTCTTTTTAGCATCTCACCAAGATAAAGATTCACACAGGACATGCATTAGTACCCAGTAAATGAAGAAAGCCTGTGTGTTCTAGTTTTGTTTTTGGCCAAAGGATTTTGATTCATTCTACTCTACATGGACCTGCAAGGTGCAAACTACAGTGGAACGTTAAATTTAGTGCATTACAATATGAGATATAACTTAATTGTAATTATTAAATATCGCCAACGCTATGCAGTAAAGGCTTTTTTCTATTATAAAGCCACGTCCGGTTCTTTCAAACCAGGAACTCAGTGAGACGAAGCGGACCACTTGAGTATATAAAAAAATATAACTGTGCTGGTTTATTCAAAGGGTCACAGGCAAGAATTAACATTACACGTCCAGGCATCTTCCACCCCCAAAACTGTGCGCAGGCAGCCTGGAAGAAGAAAGACCTAGAACCCTAATGGCCTATACATTTTATCTGGTTGGTTGGGCTAGCCCATTCTACGCAGGCAACGTCAAACCGTGACGTCACCTGATATGCCAGCTTGGCAGCTGACCAGAGCAGTAGTCAAAACATGGAGAAAATTCAAGTGTGTGGCTGTTGATTATGTGGTGTGTATCTAAAAACATACAGGACATTCAGGGACATGTCCGAACAGTAAGCCTCGGAAAATGTTATGATTAAGATTACGGCTGAGCATATCATGCTACTAGCAATATTCATCCTGCCAGCAGACTCTGCAATCTAGCTGACCTTGGCCTAGATGCAGCCTGCAGAACTCATGACAATGAACTGAGCATTTAACAGCCTGAGCTAGACATCCTGTCTACACTAACATTTTCTAATACAACAGATCTCTAATCAATATCTATCTAACTAAGAAATAACCTAACAGCAGTATGGCCAATCATTACAGAGAGAGAGAGCGACCCATTGAACATGGGAGCTGGTCAGGCAGTCTGATCACAGTGGGGGGCATTTCAATATAGCTGCCTTCCATTTGGCCGTGCCAGCACGCTGCCTTTTGTAGTGTTAAAACAAACAGTGACCGCGCCCATCAGGCACAAAGGGTGTCGTAATGTCAGGTTTTGGAACACACCCTCTTTGCTTATTTTATAACTGGTTGGCCCAGAGGATATTTTGAGCATCATTGAATCTGAAAAAGTTCAGTGTACTCCAGCTAGTTTACTAGTGCAGCTGTACCAAACTCCAAAAACAGTGGTAGAGTACACAGTCAAAGGATGAGCCATAAAACATTACATAAACCCAGAAGAACTGACAGACAGCGCATTATGTGGTAGGCATGTGCAGTCCAATAGTCCATGTCAGTTCATACGTATGTCAACCAGCCACAGTGAAAACAACAGCAGTGAGCGCGGCGCCAGGGCGTGTGCCAGTTTTTAGCCATTGTCTAGCCCCAGCGCGCCGTGCACAGCTGATCACTCACATGTGTACTACACATGTAAAACAGTTTGTTCTGATCACAGCATCACTGAGGCACATGTTAAATACAAAACAGTGTTGCTGACAAAGATATTGGGTGTTTTTAACAGACTGGAGAACAATTTGAGCTTCACTTTGTTCACTCAGGCCAGGATGAGTGCATGCACTTCTGCTCTAGGTTAACTGCAATCCTCTAAACTAGACAAAAAGAAACTCACTGTACACCACCTGCTCAGCAACAGACCGCAGACAGACACAGTTACAGATTAGCTAGTGAACATAGTGGAGAATGTAGCCACTAAAAAGTCACATTTCCTTCACTGGAGGAAAAAACAAACAGCCAATATAGACATACTCTAATTCTGGCAACAGGATTTGGTTAAAATACCTCCTCAGCTCCTAATATGTTTATAATGGTAGTGGATGGAAACATTCATCTTCTTGAAATTCATCTAAAATGTGCACTACATTTGGATGGCAGCCAGGCTAAATGCAGCCAAACAGGGTTATTCATTAAACCCAGAGGTGAATGCACTCTGGACAAATTGGAATTTATAAATGCATCAGGGCATAGTCAGATTACCTTCAGTTTGTTCTGTTCAGTTTCTCAGGTGACAGCCAATGAAATAATTATGCTAATTAGGTGTTGTTTGTGGAAGTCATGCTGCTCTTCATTATGAATGTATGCAATTCCATTGGATTGTATGGAAAGACACATTAAGGTTTCTTCAAGGATTTTTTTGTCAATTCACATATGTGCAGGATATACAGAAAATCAAAATACCGTTTCTCTCTCACCTAGTATTGGGTGCCATAACATTTAGGAACTAAAATAGAATAAAGTAGAATAAAAATAGAATAGAATAGAATAAGAACAGAATTAACATAAAAAGCCAGATTATATATGCTACAAACACAAAGATAGTGCATTTCTAATTAAAACGTACAGTAAGTCTTCTGCTCCCTGATTATGATCAAGATGTGGGTCCTGTCATAAAAGGGACGAGGTTTCTAATGCACAGGTCCCATCTTTGCCTGTAGAGGCTGCAGTGTTGATACCAGTAGTAGAGCTAAAAATATCAGGTTTGGTCTTGAAGGTGCTACTAGATGAATGGCATTAATTAATCATCATGAATCGGCACAGTGTCCCCAGCAAATGTTATGATAATGTCCCTGGGATATTATGGCCATCTTGTGTGCAAAGCTGACATTTTGTCATGAAGAAAGTTGTCATATGTCCCAAATAGAGACTCAATGAGCCATCTGAAAGAACGTATCTGGTCAAACAGCAGATGTTTTTTTTTAATCTGAAGCCAGATTGATGCTTTAGCAAAACACAATTTGGAGTTAAAGGCACACATTACAAGATGCAATCATTTTACAGGTGTTCTCAAATTGTTCAGGTGATCTTTCATTGTGCATATTGTACGTATGTGACATTTCTCTTCCTGGACTGTTCCCCAACCTACACACAATAAATATAAATGCTAATAAATCCAAGCCAAATAAATTACAAACTGAATATTAATTTCTTTCTTTTTTAAGATTACAGTACTAAATAAAAATTTGTTGCACTGCTGAATGCTGAAAAACCACTTCTTAGAACTGCAGCAACATATCGAAAAGATTAAAGATTTCTTTTTTGTAATTCATATGCGTGTAGAGCCAACAAAAGACAGTCTTGTCATGTAGCTTTAATGAGTATGCAAATGTATTAGTGTAGATATACAGTCATTTGTCCAAACCCAAAACTAATATTTTTACGTCCTTATGGTTTGTGTTTATGTATAAGTACCAGTCAAGAAAAGGTAAAAGAAGATACAGTACTTTTGTAATAAACCAACATCAAGAAACAACAAATGTTTGGCAATCAATATCCTTTTGAATGAGGTAGTTAAAAAACTTTACTCCATTTCCCTCCTGAGCTGGAACACACTGACCACATTCTTGTTAAATATACAATATCTGCCATGTACAATGCAAACCTTTGAATTAGAAATTACACATTCATGGTTCATATCATGGGGTGAACATTACCTCCTTTACTAGAAGTCTTTCATTTGCATACAGCTGTGATCAGTGAGTTTTGACAAACACAACTTTCCCACTAAAGTGACAGGTGAGAGTATGCAAAGACAGGTTAGGTTTTACATGAGCAGTGTCCATCTGGACTTGTTATAATGTGCTGTTAGAGCACATTAAAAAGATATTTTAGGTTCTACATTTACAAAGCAGTTCAAGTAATAGTTATTAGTGGCAACAGTGGTTTTAAATGTTGTTGCATTCAAACATTTTGGGAACCTTACCTCATCTGAGACTCCCACTCTGCTGAGATCTACCAGCAGACCACATGGATCCACTTGGTATGAATGTTCATGTATAGATCCATTTTTTGTCTGCTCAAATCCATATCAAAACCAAAGTCCATCAGGATCCACAAGACTGCTACTGAACTCAGCATAACCGTCTAGTTGCTGGATCAAAGTATCTCCCAACCCTTTCTTCACACAGCCCCGTTTCTGCAGCTGTCTCAGCCATACACAGTGCTGCTGCATATTCAGCCAGCACTGATCCCACTGTGTGAGTTCTTTGTCTAAATGTCCACTAGACTTCCTTCAATTCTTTCCCAACTTAGTTTTCCTGCCTGTGTTGGTTGGTTTCCCTGGACTGAGCTAAATATAGGGAGCACACAAGGTAAAGTAGAACAGAGCAGAACAGGAAATGCAGGACAATATGCTTGTGCGCACGATCGTGTTTGTTTCAACGTGTCTTCCTGTCTCTAATCCCAGCAATGTTTATGATAACTTTGTCCAGTAAATGCCCAGTGAAACGTGATGATTTAGGTGATTTCGTTTTTTGCCTGTGTGTGTGGTGGTAGTGGGGCATGCATTGTTATTCTGTACTTGTGTGAGAGAGTCAGCCCATCCCATATTCCACTCTAATGACGCTGTACACATTGTTTAGTCTCTCTGGGCTTCTAAAGATATTTGCCTAAACAAAAACACCAACCGCACATCCAGCTGCCTGGCTGGACCAAAGGAAGAGAAATCCAGCTTTTATTGCCTCACACATGCTTTCAGCAAGGGAATAAATGTCAGGTACTGTGTGGACACTGGAATTTAACTATTTTCACCTCCAGCTGACCCTGTTTTATCACATGACACGCAGTACTATTGGGTCATTGCAGCAGCTGTACTTGTTAACACTGAGCACATTTAAGTAACAGAGTTAATCCCAACTATCAGACATATTTGATGAAACTGTCTAGATGAAAATGGAGGATTTATGTTTTCATGTTCCATCACATTACACTGCCCATTGCAGTGAAGGTGCTACATACTGAATGAATAGCCCAATGGTTCAAACTTGCAAAGAGGTTTTAAAGAATAGGTTCGTATATTTTGAGCATATCTGTACAATATACTAACAGAGTTACTGGTTGCTGTGAGTGGTTTTCCTGTCCACACTGACCAAGAACCCACCGCTTCCTAATGTGATTCTGTTGTAAGAAATCCAGTCATCTCCTTTTGTGCAAACATAAATTTTTAAGTTCAGCTATTTTCTTTGTCAAATTTGTTATTACTTTACAGAAAGTGAAGAAAAAGGAATATTAGGCTGTTCAAAAAAATAGCAGTGTCTGCATTTTTCTTTACAAACTCAAACATTTACTGTACTCTGGACAGCGCTACAGGTCACTGTGTGCCAAGACAACTAGGCACATGGACAATTCCTTCCCAGAGGCCGTCGCTCTGATCAACACTTAACCCAGGACAGTATGACTGGTCAGTTACCCTCAGTGCAATACCTAAATATACGTAAATATACGTTGTACATACAGATCCATCGAATGCATCTAGGCTGTGTGTGTGTATATATAGACATACAGTATATACAGGTCTCTGTTTATAAGTACTTTATTTTTATTTTTATCTCGTTTACCAATGCACATTCCTGTGTTTGTTTGCACACTTCTTTGCTTCTGTTCTATCAGCCTTACATTGTTTACTTGCCCTATGCCGTTACTTTACATAGGATATGTACATACACATTGAGACCCGCTGTACCCGAATCAAATTCCTCATGCGTCCAACACAGCTGGCCAATAAAGCTGATTCTGATTCTGATTCTGGTATAAACTGAAAAATGCTTGAAGATTTAGCTTGGCAACAGCGGGGAGGAAAAAAAAACTCCCTTTAAGAGAAGAAATCGCTGATAGATTCCATATTATGATTTGTGGACTTGCTTCCTGTTTGGTGCATTTATTTTGGCTAGACTTCCTGTTCTGTGTCACCTCACCTGCCCCAGCTTTACTCCAGTCTGCAATCACCACTCATTGTGTTCACCTGTCCCTCATTATCCTCTGCTCTCTTGTGTATATATTCTCCTCCTTTCCCTCAGCCTCTTGCTGGTTTATTCTGCTTGCTACATCCATTGACCACACCCTGCCAGTTTGCCTACCCCTGTTCAGCCCTTATATTTTTCCCCCTTGGTCTTTCATCCCATATTATTTATTAAATGTCTTTCTTGTACCTTCCATTGCCTCGTGTGTCTGCACTTTGGGTCCTACCTAGCCAGTAATTGTAACACCCCCGCTCTTGGTGGGCAGCTTTCTGCCTCATCCAGGAGCTCGTGGCCCCCCAGCAGTCTAGGCCTATTGCGGCATAACTAAGGGAAGGCTCAGGGTCACCTGGTCCAGCCCTAACTATAAGCTTCATCAAATAGGAAAGTCTTAAGTCTACTCTTGAAGGTAAAGAGGATCTCTGCCTCCTGTACTGAGACTGGGACAAACCTGATAGCTAAAGGCTCTCTTTCTTGGCTTTGCCTCAGAAACAACATTTTTGATGTCACCCCACAAGTTTTCTATTGGATTAAGGTCTGTGGATTGGGCTGGCCACTCCATAATGTTAATCTTATTGATCAGGAACCAAGATGCTGCTCGCTTACTGGTGTGTTTGGGGTCACGGTCTTGTTGAAACATCCATTTCAAGGGCATTTCCTCTTTGCCATAAGGCAACAACCTCTTCAAGTATTTTTATGTATTCAAACTGATCCATGATCCCTGATATGCAATAAATAGGCCTAATACCACAGTATGAGAAACATCTCTATATCACGATGCTTGCGCCACCATGCTTCACAGTGTACTGTGGCTTGAATTCAGTGTTTGGGGGTCATCTGACAACTGTCTGCGGCCCCTAGACCTCGCTGGCACCGTCACCTCTGGGCCAGCCTCGTTGCAGCCACTCATCTCAGCTCACCGCTCGACTTGACGATCCACCTCCAATTACTCCTTTTTCCAGTGCCACTCCACTGGAAACAGCCTGTCTCCATATATTCCCTCAACCCATACGGACTGACCCACTGCCTGCCGTCACCATCATCAGTTTCTACTACACCACTCTTTTAGTTCTTACATTAAAGCATTCATTTATTTCATCTAAACTATTACACTGCAGTCTGGGTCCTCTTTGCTTCATTCTCACCTCCTGGTTCAAGAGAATCCTTAACACATACTTCAGTTCATCTCAGGTTTTTGAGGTTAGGTTAAGGTAGGTAAGACTCATTTAACTTAGGTTAACATAGGTTAGGTTCACGTAAGTGGAGTGATGTTAAGGTTAGGCTAGATTAGGATAGTCTGGGTTGGCACAGGTCAGGTTAGTAGAATGCACAGTGCTATTTGACTGCATCTGTGTGGGTCCAAAGGTCTTTCTGGAAATTTGACTTTTTTTTCTTCTTTTTTTACATACTGTATGTCTGGCGTCATCACACATTGCCTTTTCCCTTAGCATTTCTCCTAATTTGTTTCCTTTCTTTTAGGTTTACATGGTGAGGCTGACCTTGATTAAATTTGGTTGAACTGGGAGAAGTGACAACAGGTTAAAACCAAGTACAATGTCTGCAGAGATTCTCAGTCATCCAAGTCACGGTTTGTGAAAAAGTGTTGAACTTACTTAAACGTGTTGTTGCAAGGGTGTTTCTAGGTGGTTGCTCAGATCATTCTGTGACAAATTTGAAATGGCTGCCCTTTTATTTTTTGTATCTTTTTTTTTTTTTTTTTTAACTGTTTTTGGTTTACTGTACTCCCACACAACTGCATAACTTTATGTTTTGCACTGTGCTGATTTTTGATTTAGGGGACACATTTAGGTTACCTCTGTGTGCTGTACAGAAAACGTTTCTATTAACTTCCATCCTGTGCCCCAGTTGTGCCTCCTCTCACTCTGTCCTTTGACAGATGCCTCTCTTCCTGCCAGACATCTCCACTGTCCTGCTGTTCATCTGCGACCCCTGAAACCAACAGTATAAGAAAGCTTAAGTCTGGAGTGCAGTTGTACACCAACAAGGACAAGTCAACAGACACCATTTGTATCATTACTATGTTATAAATTGCTACAGAAAACATGTTGGCCTGGCATTTCTTCTTACGTTACTGTACACAGAGACCAGACAGTGAACAAAGCCACACTGCAGACATTTGATCACTTTATGCTACTCCAGTAAATAAAGTGGATTAATTTGCTAAACTAAAACAAAATATACAATAATCCAACCTGTCAGGCTGTGTCCTGTATCAGTCACAGTGACCATATATCTACAGGAGACAATGCACATGCCTATGAAACAGTCTAAGACTTTCTTACTGTCAGTGAACTCCACGTCACAGGGCCTGACGCTGTTGGATCTCTTCATTAAGAACCTGGTCCAGGGAGTGTTAGATATCATGAAGAAGAGCTTGGCAGTGTGATCCTCGCTCCTCCTTCTGTCTGTCTTCTCTTTGTCTTGACTTATTCTCTCTTTCTGCTCCATCTTTCCTTTATTTGCCTCACTTTCTCCTTCCTTCTTCTCAGAGATAAATTCCTCCATGCTCTTCCTCGTTGTTATTGCCTCCTCTTTCCTTTGTCTTTTCTTCTTCTGTTTCTCCCTTCTCTGATTTTCTTTCTCCTTCTGTTGTTTTGTCTCCTCCTTCTATTTCTTTCCTTTCCCCTTTCTCTCTCACTTTTGTCTCCTTCTCCTTCTTCTCTTCCTCTTTGTCCTTCTTCTTTTGTCTCTCTCTCCTTTGTTTCTCCCTCATCTGCATTTCTTTCTCCATTCTTTTCTGTCTTTCCCAATTCTCCTGTCTCTCTTTTTGCCCTTTTTTCTTTCCCTCTCCTCCTTCTCTTGTCTTTCTTCCTCCTTTTTCTCTCTCTTCTGCATTTCTTTCTCTTTCCTTTTCTCACACTCGCATATAAAGAACCACAATAAACAAAACCCTCAAATCATTCTAGAGAGATGTAGCCACCCCCAGTTATAGAATATGATTTGCCCTTAATCTTAAACATCTAAAATAATGTATTTGAAGACCAAACCCTGTAAATAACCATTGTTATTGCCCCATCTATGACCAGTAACTGACCTTTGGGTGGTCTTCACAAGGGGTGCTTCTTCTTTGCGTATTGCTGCAGCCTAATCTATGACTGGACATTTGAAAAGTCACAAGATTTTGATAATATGGCATAACAGTTTGTGCTAACCCATGGTTTCACTCACTTTCATTTGTTTCTAATGTGAAACCAACAACCAAGCAATCTGGTGGAATTAGAACAAGTTTCCCATGTAGAACGGACTAAAATTACACCTGAAAGGATCGAAACGCTGCTCAGAGGGCACCCAGAGAGGCTGGAGGAGGTTAGGGAGGACATGCAAAGGATTAGGGAACATTTCATAAAAGG